TGACATCCCTCCCTTCTGGCTGGAGGGCAGCACCTCTCGGTCTGTGGAAGCAAAGAATAAGGTTTATCAGTGTGGCAGGTGGTAGCTTTTAAAAGGGCCTCTCTGAGTTTTCACAGAAGCCCTTAACTTCAGACCCACAATCTGGAGAATGTCCCTTTGACTGTCATAATAGCTAATAGCTAATGCTTACTAGGCACTAGGTGCTGACAGTCATCCAGCACTTTGTATAAACTGACTTAATCCACATGAAAATCTCTAATAAATTATTGTAACTACTGTATTTACCAGATGAGGAAACTGAGGCCCAAGAAGTTAAGTCACTCGCAACTAAGAGACAAATGGAGCAACTGGACCTGGAGTACTTGCTTTCAAACACCATTTTATACTTGTTTCTTGTGAGTGATGCTGTGACCAAATGGACTATCACACATTTATTGGGTACCTATCATATACCAAGGCCTCTGGTAGGGATTTTACATATAGCGTCTCTGAAAGTCACAAGTTACCATAGGTTTTGCCCCATTTTATAGGTGAGAAAACTGGATAGGCTCCTGTGTTAAGTAGTGTGACCAAGATCACACAGTTCATGCTGTTTCTAATAAACCCTGTCATAACTTGATTTAATATACTTTGGAACCCATTTTGTCCATTTTTTAAAAAATATTTTCCCCTACAGTTTCAGACTCTGAACTCAGTAGGACCTGCAGCCAGTGCATTGGGAGTGGTCTTGTGTAACAGGGTTGCATCAGGCTTCTCTGAAGAGCAGCTGAGAGGTATGAGGGCATGTAGGTTAACGTTCCAGGCCTCTCAGGGACAGCTCCCTGGAGAAGTTGAGCTTAGTATCCATTTCTTTATGGCCACAACCCCAGTTCCACTCTTCTGCTGGGACATTTGTGCCTCCTTTTCAGGCTCCAGGACAGTGGCCGCCTCCTCACACAGTCTTTGCACTGGTAAGTTTATTTCCGGACACTCATTCTAATTTTGGCAAATGCTGCATTTATATATATATATATATATAGTTGCTTCTATGAATTCTCTGAAGTCTGCCTACGGTGCATTGGTGTTCCCACTCTGGTTTCTGATTGCTCATGAAAATCAAATTGTTATAGTCACATTTTCGCGGTTATTTCTTTTTTTAAGGCAAGTGCTCAAATCTTTCTTTGATTACAACACTCATCACTATACTTTGAATGTGCTTATGGATCTTTCCCCATCCCTAGTCAGCCACTTTCTAAAAACAAGAAATCTAACTGCCTGCAGCTATTTAAATTTAAGAAAATAAAGTTAAATGAAATAAAAAATTCAGTTCCTCTGTTGCACTAACCACATCTCAAGTGCTCAATAGTCACATGGGGCTGGCAGCCACTGAACCAGACAGTGCAGACAGAACATCTTTACCATTACAGTGAGTGCTGTCAACAGTATCATTCCAGTACACAGGGACCATCTTCTATATTGCCATATCTCTAACACCTGCCTGGCTCATGGTAACTGCCAAATGGGTACAATGGAGAGAACCTTTCTGACTTCAGCCCATATCTCTTCAAACTACATGTGTCACTAGGGCTGCCAAATTCACAGGCAGTACATCCTGAGCTCAGTGGCATTACCAGTCACTCTCCTCTTGGGCTCCATGGAGGCCAGGAGGGAGCTCTTGGCATCACAGTAGACAGTGGAGCACGCTGGAGGAATCTTTCCAGTGATGACATCACTACCTCCACCACCTCTCCATCTTCCAAGGTGTGTGTAACCCAGAGACTTCTATTTTTAACTGGTTTGTGGTCCTGGATACTTATTAAATGAGGAAAAGTTGTTTGCATCGAACAAACCAGCAACAAGAAAGTTACTCATTCTGGAAGGCTTGCATGGCTTTAGAACTGAGCCAAGTGTTTTGGAGACTGTAGAAATTCAATCTTCTTTGCTCTCTGAAACTAGTCTCTTCCACTGGTTTCCACCTCCTGGGAGCCACAGCACTGGAGTCCATAGCACCGAGGCAAGGGCTGTCTTGTGGGTGCCCTGTAAGGTGGGAAGAGCTCTGCATACAGGGCTCCAGGTCTGGGATCTAGGTCCAGCACTGCCAGTGGCAGTGGGCTGGTCTGTGGGCTAAGAACATTGAACCCTTTTCAACTTGAAAATGCTAGGGCTTTGCTATTCCCTTCCCACTGTCTTCAAGAACATTGACCTATCTTCCTGGCCAGGCTATGAATCTTGAGGGTAGGGTTCAGAGCTGTTGGCACAGGCTGGCCATGTAATAATGCAGACTGATACTCCAGAAGCAGGGTTTGGGGTATGCTCTTGTATTCCCTTTTCTATCTATATAATGGGGGGCAAGTGTTACCTTTCTAGTGCTCCATATACCATAATCAGGTAATTAAGGTACTTTCTTATCCCAATCCCCTTCCCCCCCTTTTTTTTCATTTCAGTTCTTGATTATCAGAATGTCGATCACATTCTTATCCCTATGGGAGTCAAAAAAATTTGATGTGGTAACTTATGATATTTTCAAATAAAAAGGAATTCCTTTCTTGGACAGAGTGATGAGTTTGGGCAACATAATTCCACTGTGCAACTCCAAGGGTGCCGTTCATATATATATACCACTAGTTCTATAATACCACGAGTTCTTAACCTTCAGCCTGCTAGGTTTTACTTGTGGTACTCCTGAAGGCACAACAGCATAGGTTAGGTCACCTTTATCTAGGCTCTGTGACTTTAAAGCATCCTATTCAGTAATTTCTTCTAAGACATTGCTAGTCTCTCCCTGAGCCCCAAATCACTGTTACTAACTGAAGTTTAATGTCAGAGAAATTAAGATGACTAACACTTTGATACAAGTTGAGGGGAGGGAAGAGGGGTTGTGGGCATTTATTCTCAGTCTTGAGAGTGTCCTGAGGAATATGTGACAGTCCCTCATCACCCTTCCTTAGGAGAGAGCAGTGGTGATCAGATGCCAACTGTCATGCACCAGGGCACCTTTGCACTGTCTTACCACCTGCGTTTGCCACTTATCTACTGAAGCAATTTCAAGAGTGATTTAAGGGGCTGGGGATGTGGCTCAAGCGGTGGCACGCTCGCCTGGCATGCATGCTGCCCGGGTTCGATCCTCAGCACCACATACAAACAAAGATGTTGTGTCCACTGAGAACTGAAAAATAAATATTAAAAAAATTCTCTCTCTCTCTCTCTTAAAAAAAAAAAAGAGTGATTTAATAGGCCTTGAGAAAGTTACTCACCATAACAAGATCCTTTCCATTGGCTAGCCCTCCACACTTGAAATGAATTAGTAGACTTTTTTTCTTTTGCATCAAATAATGCATGTTATAAAAAAATAAGAATAGGCTTAAAACTAATTTATTTTTATTAGAAATCAGGATAATAGTTAATCTTGGGGGATATTTTTAATTGGGAAGAAGAACATGGAGTCAGTTTGTTTTTCTTTTTCTTTTTTGACAGGGGGACAGGGGGTTGAACTCAAGGGTACTGAGCTACATTCTCAGTTCTTTTTTTTTTCCAGTTTTGAGACAGGGTCTTGCTAAGTTGCTAAGGCTGGTCTCAAACTTGCAATCATCCTGCTTCAGCCTCCTGAGTTGCTGGGATCACAGGTGTGCACCATGGCACCTCGTGTAATGTACTGTTTCTTCACATTCATGTTCCCTTCACGAAAGACTTATGGGTATTTACAGTTATGGTTTGTCTATCTCTCAATATGCTACAAAATAAAATTTCTTTAAAACAGCTTTTAGAGGCTTGCCTTAGAAAGCATTCACAGATATTTATAACTTATTTAAACAGTTAGGTTGTTTTATTTCCAAAAGAGAGTTAGCGGTTTGTTAAGACTAGTGGATACTGGAAGGGAGAAGAGTAGACAATAAAGGAGGTGATTTCATTCTGCCTGGGTTCTTCTGAATACAGAGTACAAGTCCTCAGTGAATTCATACTTTCTCAATTTCACTTCCATTTTTCTTTGGGGGTATATGAGAAGTGAACAGATTGCAAGAAAAACTGGGCTGGGAAGTGCCTCCTTTTACTCAGAGCCAAACCTGGTAACAGAGGAAGGTGATTTTCTTGGGCCGTGTGCTTCAGGGAAAGTGTGGAGCCAGGCCTTTCTTTGTAATCAAACCACAGATGATTTCTTCCAGCATGACCTGGCTCCTGTATGCCAAAAAGAGACCAATAAACCAAGGCCACCTGGGCACCAGATGTACAGAACTCTTTGTGTGTTAGAAGAGGGAGGAGGTGCAGAGCTCAGCTGGGAAACGCCCCCCCCCCCACTCTTCCCCCAACAGCAGTGTCTTTTCCTGCCTGTGTTCCCTTCTCCTCAGCACATGTGGGGGCCTGGGTCAGCAGCCCCACTTGCACATGAGCAGGTCTCCTGCACGCCCTGTACTGGCAGGTCGCCAGCTCTCCCAGGTCTCCATTCAGCTTCTGAGAAATATTGAGGCTGAAGAGATTCCTGTGTACACAGGCTTAGCCTGTGAAGGAGTGTAGATGGACGGGAGCCATTTGCAGGAAAATATTTGGCTCTCAGGCATTCTCCTTCATTTGATCCACAAAATCGTTACTCTTTCCTCAAATGAAGTCCCATCTGTTTCTATTGCACAACCAGGGTCCCAAATTCAAGTCTAAAGAAATCCAGTTAGCCCTTTCTCTTGATGGTTTTGTTGTTGATTTTTTCTTCAAAGACATCAGTATTGGGTTGATAACAGTACAAAAAGGGGCCCTAGGTCCAGCCATCTCTGAGGAGTCCTGGACTTCCGCTTTGTTTCCATGGAACAAATGAGTCTCATTAGTGACAGGCCCACATTCTCCTCCTGTGCCTGGCCTCTGATTCACGGTCAAAATGGAACCGAATCTCAGCACTGCATGTAGTCTGTTTTCAGCTATTTTATTGAAATTATTTGATACCACTGTGGGCCTTGCCTGTTCTTCCTGTCCTAATATACTAATTTTCTTTGCCTAGAATTGACTCAATTAAATCTTCTTATTGAATGTATTTTCAGACTGGATTTTTCCATCTACCACATGGAGACTTTTTCATTGAGCCTGTTAAAAAGCATCCAGTGGCTGAGGGTGCCTACCCACACATCGTTTACCGGAGGCAGAGAGTTCAAGAGACAAAGGAGCCAGCCTGCGGATTAAAGGGTATTGTGACTTAAACATCTTCACAGGTTGAAGAGTTGGCTCTTTTGATTGACCTCTTTTTATTTAAGCCCATTACCTGCTCTCTATTCTGCTGCCAGAAAGTATGAGCCTTGTGTAAATTATTTCATTTCTCTATGCTCAAGTTTCTTTATATTGTTAATGGGAAGCAGGAAAAAGGCTCTTCTATATCCTTTTTCCATTAGTTAGTGAGACTCATATAAGACATTCATAATAGTAAAATATTTTTTTAAAAATACAACTTTTCTGAACATCTAGAGGATATCTAGCTTAAAGACTCCATAATCAATGTTAACAGCATTAAATACATTAGTGGGTAATATTACCAGACAGCTCATCACACCTGCATGTGGAAAGCAGATTTAAATGTTTGATGATACTGAGAATGATGAATGGAGGGACAATGAAAAACTTGTCAACACATTATTAGATAATGAATTCTGCAGAGATGCTTCTGTCTGTGTTGTGTTGTGTTCTGCCTGGTGTTTGTTGAGCTCTGTCCCCTGCCCTTGTGCCCTGGATATGATCTGTTCTGCCCTTCTCTGTCTTGTCCTAAGTAGTTAACGGAGCTTTCAGAGATAAACTGACCCAAGTTATTTCCTTGGAAACCCACATTCTCTTTAATGTGCAGGAAATAGTAAGCTATGAATAAAGGGCTATGGGAAATTGAGACATTTCCTTAAATATTCCATATTTCCTTTCTTCAGAAGGAAAAGTAAACAATGCCACAATGACAGTTAACAAGAGAAGTAAAGTAACATCCCTTTATTTCTTAACAATTTGGAACACGGACTTCAAAGGGAAAACAGGGAGATGACAGAGGAGTGAGGCAGCCAGGATGACATTGCAAACAGGAGAAGGGATGGACAAGGGGACAAGTGACTGCTCTACAGACCAACATCACCCACTTTTCCTACACTTGATAGCAACTTTTCTGGGAATTTCTTCTATAAACTTAGCAGTATGTGTACGCAATAAGAAACTTGAGTCTCTAATGTCTGTAGTGTTTTCTGGGCACCTAATCACACAGTTATCATTCATTAGCAAGTGATGTCAACTACTTTTTAAATTAAAGGATTTCCTGTACAAATCATATAGTAAGTGCTTAAAGAAGAGATTCATCACCTGCTGATCTCATTGCCAAAGGAACCAATCCAGATAATAATCTCCATGGGAATTTTAGGACTCTCTGTCACTGCCACTGACACCTGGATTGTTGCCCAATTCATATTACACATTGGGGTGATGGAGAGCATGTTGTGCATGTGATTTGATACCTTTTAGAGGAAATCCCAGATGTAGGTTGCCAATGTGACTGTTACTAAGGCTGGGGGAGAATTTGACTACATAGTTGCTCCGTGAATTGCATTAATTCCTCATCCATCCTCCTTAAACACAGCTCTCTCCTGTAACTGTCCTGTTGAGGTAAGATGATTAGAAATGGATTGGGGCTAGCTAATATTTAGTCATTAAAAAAAGGGATGAATAGAGAAAGAGTGGGGTTCATAAATGCCACAGTCCCCATGAGCTCACACACAACACCACAATTACTGTGCTTGTCATACTAGTTCTTATTGTGCTTCTAGGCCAATCTTATGACTTTGCACTTCTACAGAACTTTCGGTGGCTCATCCAACCTGCCAATGAGCTATTTGTTGTGAATTTTTCTACACATTTCCTGGAAGGCACTCTCTTCTACTTTCCCAGAACCAGTGTCAGAATTGATCTGCTGTGCTGGAAGGACCTTTCAGAGCACCTAGTGACGTCTTCTTCCACTAAAGAAGTGGTTGTCCCTTAGGGAAGGCAGTGGATTTTCAATGGAATCAAGTTAGTTTGTGTCAGAGCAAGCCAGGATTCCATGGTAGCTCAGGCTTTTTACTGCCTTATATTTCTTCTTTTCTTATTCCTTGAATATAAGTTTTGTTTCTCCAGCCTGATCACAAGCCTGTTGAGTAGGGGCTCCCTCCAACCCAACATTGTACAGCATAGTGTTAGGTGCAAAGCAGGAACTAGGAACTCAGTGACTCACTGACAGGACACTGACGCGGCGGAAGTGGTAGCCAAGAAGATGAAGCTAGTGTACACTGGCTTCTGGCCCACCACTGACAGAAAGGAAAAAGAAATGTGCCTTTTCTAGATATTGAGGAAGTGTGAGTTGTTTGGGACCATCCTTCTTCCTAAGAGAATAATGCTTAAATGATAGCTAGATAGTCAAGAATCTCCACCATGCTTGTGAAACAATACATGGCATTTGGAATTTGAAAATCTTGGTAGAGTGAATTGTACATGGTCTTGCTGTTCCAGATAATTGCACCGTCCTTTGTCATGTTACCCTGCAGAGATGATGGAACTGACTGACAGCAGTTATGTCACTGGCCAATATTAAAGTACACTTTATGCTTAGGTCAATTGATGTTGTGTGAATCACTGTGATTATATTTAAAAAATCGTCTTTACCATGTGTAAAGCATTCTTACTTTGAAGTACACTTCAAGAAAGAAGATATCTCAATTATTTTATCCCCAAATCTGGCACTTCTCTTAATTTTATTTGATACATAGAAAGTTTCCAGGAATTTCACAGTATGACCTTTATTAATATGACTTAATTTCTTTTTTTAAAAAGATTTTAGCATAATGCTATTAGACTCATCTTCATATTCTAAGTATGAAGTCCAGGTTAATGTTTGTTGATTGAGTGATTTGCAATGGGATGCTACAAATGTGAGTGGACACTGGTCTTACCTGGACATAGGACTAAGCACTGCAAGATCATTTTGAGTCTTGGAGGCAAGGACAGTGTGTTTTTGTGGTAGCAATTAATGTTTGTGTATTTGTCACACAGCTTGATTTATGTCAGTATTTGGAAAATATTTCCACCCCCACACATCCCATTCCTGTGCAACAGCTGGAAATCTCATAAATAACCATAAAATTGTTTCTTTATGGGGAAAAAAGTTTACTTGTTAGATCTAAAATCAAATATTTGAGGTAATTATCAATGTACCTTATCCTTTAATCTTCTCTTGCAAAATCAGAGAAGTGGATCCCTAGGGTAGTTTCTGGGCCAATGGGACCAAGATTAGAAGGTTCTAGAATTTTGTTTACATTGGTTTGTGTATGGTAGATTGACCTTCTCTTCCTTCAAGAAATGTTAACTTGGTGCTTTCTATGGGCCAGAAACCAAGGGACATAGCTTTAAATATGTCAAGTTGGAACTTACCCTCATGAACTTGCTGTCTACTGGGAAAAGAACTTTAAAATTATAAAAATCATATCTATGAACATTGTGACATGCTATGGGTGTATACAGAGGAACCTGACACACCAGGAAGGTTGAGGATGGCTCTCCTGTAGTAAGCCTTTTAAAAGGAGGCATAGATTGTTTGGGAGTCATTTTTCCTGAGCTCACTTCTGTGGAATTTACAGGATTTGAGGAATAATGACTATTAGGAGCTGAACTGTGCCTCCCTAAAATTCATATCTTAAAGTCTTAACCCCCAGAACCTTAGAATATGACTATATTTGAAAATAGAGTCCTTAAAAAGATAATTAAATTAAAATGCAGTCATGAAGGTGAAGCCTAATCCATTGTGATCGTGACCTTCTAAGAGGAGGAAATCTGGACACTGTCATATGCATTAGGGGTAACTGTTTGCTGGAGGAACATTCGAGGAACAGAGAACTTGTGAGGAACAGAGAGAGGCAGGTTTCTGCAAGCCAAGGAGTGGCCTCTCTTTCGAGAGGAGAGCAGATAGTCCAGGGGCATTTTCATTTTGTACCGTGTTCTACAGCTTAAGAAGCTGGCTTGGGATTAGAGTTGCTTTACTTGCAAAAAATTTAAGTGATGTGACAGGTATTAATAATATGCCTGAGATTGCTATGTAATTAGCTGTAGATGAAAAGCAATTCTAATTATGTAACCATTATTTTTAGTCTGTCTTATATAGGCACGTGAATTTAAAATTTTCCTTTTTCCATGGTGGAGTTGAGAGAGAAATGGACTAGAAATCAGGAGAACAGTGTCTAGTGCCATCTCTGTCACTCCCAACTTGGGCAAGCGTCTCTGTCTCCATTTCCTCCTCATTCTGTGGAAGGGTTTGGACGATCTTTGTGAATTCTCTTAACTCGTTTAAGTTGTGAGTCTCTTTCTATTTGTACTCTGCAGCACCTAGAAACAATCTTGACGTCCTTCAGTCATACCAGTGTGGTTTAAAAACTGTCATGTGGGATTGTACGTGCTAATGCTCTTAAGACATCTTTACCTAAAGGCAGAGACCGCACCCGTGTTTCCAGGAGCCCTGTGTCTGACTCCCAGGTGCTCTTATTTCCCTGGCCTTCTGCTCCCTTTGCACCCTGGCCCCATCCCAAACAGTTGGACCCAAGACTTTTGAGCACAGGCCGCTGCTCCCTGCACTGTATCCCTGACCTAGAAAGGCCAGCCAGGACCTCAAGCGGAGGCAGCAGAGCCTCAGAGTCACTAGTTAGTGGGTGTGTCTGGTCCGTCATCATGGGTCAGAGCATCAAAGGGAGGAGGTGGCTGTTCCAGAGCCTGAATCTGGACCCCAGAGCCCTAATACTTGGTGTGGAGGAGAGGATCATGACATTGCAGCCAGAGTGGAAACTGACTTATCTAGGATACTGATCTTTATCTTGGCGTCAGATTGTTACACACACACACACACACACACACACACACACTCAATTTCTCTTGAAATCTGGTTATTTGGTTAAAAAGACTTTGTATAGGTTTTTGAGTAGTCAGATACAGTGGGGTTGTCATTTTAATAGTATTTTAACTAAATTAAGCCCCAATGGTGTGTATGGATGTTTGTGTGTGTGTGTGTGCTTATGTGTTTGGTGTGTGTTTATACGTGTGGTGTATGTATTTATGTGTGTGTATTTCTGTGTGTGGTGTATGTTTGCCCATGCATGTTTATGAGTATGTTTGTGTGTGTTTATGAGTGTGTGCTTATGTATGTGGTCATATTTTTGCA